AAGGAGTGCGAGGAAAAAGAATCCTTAGGCAACCCAGCCTTCCTTACCATTTATTTTAACACTGCCCTGAATTGAAATTGTGTTAGGGGCAGGCCGGACAAATGAAGAAACAAATATCCAGGCTCATTAGGCCTGATTTTCAAATAATTTCCCATCGCTGCCAGTGGGCAGATTTGACCCTGTTGGGCCTTGGCCAGGAATTAAGACTGACCTTTGGAAAACTGGTCGGTCTTAGACCGCCTAATGTGAATCAGGATCCCGTGCTCATCTAAACTGATGTCAGAAATCAATAATGCCCTGCCCAATTTATCATTCTTGGAACCTGGGACAATTTCACCAATCTTCAGGGCAGCAAAAAATGCAGTAGCGAATACCGCCCTGAATAAGGCTAATTCCTCAGATGAGTGACATATTAGGATCAATTGCTCCCATAACTTGGAAAGGACAGGGCCGGTTATTGGCCTTCTAACATCCTTTGACATAGTAGACTCTCTGGACCATCTCTCCACAATCCTTTTGCCCCTAAAATCAACAGTTGGGTCAAAACAGCCGTTTGCCTTAGAGAAAAATGCCAGGACGCCAGGACGGCCAGGTGAAAGTCCTGATTGTTTTAGAGCTACTATAAAATGAAGTACCAGGTCCACATTAATAGGCCATTTTAATCCCTCCCCAATCTCAAACATGAATTGGCTGAAAGAATTTAGAGCTGTTTGATATGACTTGCGCGTTGACGAGGCAATGGAGTTTAACATTGCCCTGCAAACTTCTAATCTCCAGAGAAACGCTGGTACCTCCAACGGGTGTGAAGTAGCCTCGGGAGCCAACTGCTGGAACCTGGTAAGCTGAAAATGAGAAAGGGCATCCTCCAAAGTGTTAAGCAAACCAGGAACATGTGGAGCTCTAAACAATGCATTATGCTTTAAACATTGGAATACCATTGCCCTTACCAAACTCATAACTTTAGGAGATTTGGAGGACTGCAAATTCACTACATGCACAACTGCCTGTCTGTCACACCAAAACCAAACAGTCTTG